GTGGACTGCAGTCTCTGCTCACTCTGCTCCAGCCCTTGACCTGGCAACACATGAGCCAGGGGGTTCCCCAGCCCTGCAAAATACCAGTCTCGTGTTTGCTTCTCCTTTCACAGCAGTGTGACTGTGAGGACCCCTTTTTTCTGCCTCTCCGCAGGTAAGAGCTGCTACAAGACAGTTGAGAATTGGCTTTATCCATCAATAAGAGGCTATTTGGTCTTAGTGGTACAGTTTAAACTTTTAGAGTCAATTGAGTTTATCTTCATTTTACATGTACTTATTATTAAAGATGGATCTGAGGGGAATGGGGAATATTACTAATTGATTATCTTCATAGTTATTCGAATAATTATTTTTATATTTATTCTCAGAACTCAAGAAGTGTTTGAGCTGTAAAAGTAAGGCTCGCCTACCTTTCTCCTGTTACCCTTTCCTGCTAATGTAGAGGGGAAAATCTACTCATTAATTCTTCCATTGTTTCACTCATTTATATGGAAAGGCAAGTGTCATTTGAATATGGCAAATGACATAATTTGAGCTTGATGAGGTTGTATTTCAGCACTCTAATCACTTTAATTTACATATATCATCTCTCCAATTTCTGAGGTGTCTATCACTAATGTCAAGGTGTGCAAAAATGCATAGCACTAATGATGCCTCTGGCTTGTGTTTAAACGGTCTGTTGTTTTATATATAAGATCTGCAGATTCTAAAGATTTAGGATGGTTCTTGCTTTGTTTTGTTCTTGCATTTTTGAAAGTGTATATAATATGAAGAAATTCCCATAAAATACCTGGTTCTGTCCTAGTAGCATGTATTATTTTAATTAATCTTTCCAGAGATGTGTGAATAAACTAAACCTCATGAATAATTAGGCTTAGAGAAGTGGAGTGATTCCTACATGCTTACATAACCAGCAGGTAACAGGAACTATCTTGTCCAAGAGTGTGTTAGTCAAAAGACCATTGACTGTGATTTAAGAAAAAAGAAATTTGTTTTACATGTGTGGTGCATAGTAAATGTCCCCTCTAGTGCTCAAAATAGGTTATATTTTATGTTCTTTATGAAACATACATCATAGTGTCACTATAGTAGCGGTGGGTTGGTGGGTGGGTGAGTTTGTTCTTTTGTTCATTAGTTCATTCATTCCTTCTTCCACTCATTCGTTGTACCGGGAATGAACCCAGGATCTTTGCACTGAGCTACATCCTCAGTCCTTTTTACCTCTTATCTTGAGACAAAGTTTCACAAGTTGCTAAGTGGCACAGGCTGGGTTTAACTTTGTTCTCCAGTCTCAGCATTCCCTTACTGCTGGAATTACAGGCTTGCATCATCGTATCCACCTTGTTCTTAGATTTTATAAATTTTGTGTGTTATGAACTGCATAAGACATCAGTAGTAACAACAGTACCACCACTGTCAGTCACAATAGGGAAGTGAATAGCCGACATTCTTAGAGCATAAGTTACATGCCAAAGACTGCCCTGACCTCTTCTATATTATTTAATGGTCAAAATAACTCTGAGGGGTAGGTACAGATGAGCAAGTTGGGGCAGAGGCTGAGATAAGTAACTTGCTTAAACTGAACAGCAAATTAGTGACAGAGCTGGAATGTAAGCCCACTGTCTTGTGAATTATGCCATTCTTCCTAAGGAGATAAAATTTGTTATCCTCGAGTGAAGAGTTGAAAGTAAGTGAAACCAATTCTGATTAAGTTAAGCTGAAAAGGAATTTATTATGGGGATCTAGAACACTTCACAGAATAACTAAGAATCTAGAGAAGCAGATTTGGAAAACAGGACCACGGAAGATCAGGTGGCAGAAAAGGTCACCAAATTACAGCATGAGAAGTGTTTGGTTACAGCATAACGCTGTCATGGGTGCCATGCTGGTGGCCAAAGCCCCTGGACACTGGAATCTATTGCTGTCACTGCTGCTACGATAGCAGACTGTCTAAGTGTTTTTTGACCTTTGCTTCACTCACTAATATTCAGAGACACCCATGGAAGCAATCCCTTTAGGAAGTCTTAAGTTGTGTTTTTAAAAGACCAGTTTCCAAAAACTTCGTGAATTTATTGTTCTGATACATTCTGGGCAGTATGGTAAGAGAAAGGAGCTTCGACTCAGCTTTCCAGATGTTAAACCTTCATGATTAAGGTATTTTTTCAGGAAAACTTCATCCTGTTCCATGGTGAAATAGGTCAGTAAAACAATTTGAGAAATTGATAGCTAAAACAATGAGAGGGCACTGGTTGCATATTTGTTAAATCGAGTTAAGTTCTAAGTGAGCACTTTTGGTTTATTCTATTTCGATCCTGGATTAAAGAGCATAACTTCCAAATGGCTGATAAATGCTCCAGTGATAAAATATGTCTTGTTTTTCTGGTTAATTTTAACTGGTTAAATTCACTGGGTATCAAAGGTAGTAATCTTCAGCAAAAGGATGATGGTTTTGTCCATACTGTCATGATCAGTGTTTTAAGAATTTGTTATAGAGGCCAAAGTTCACTTTAATAAATGCTGTAATAAAATATTTTCTAATTTTATCTGATGATACACTGTTGTAAGTATAATCCATGCAACAGAATTTCTGCCCAGTACATGAGTTAGATTAAGACATGAAATAAGCAGTTGGGGATTTAGCTCAGCGAGTAAGCCCCTGCCTTGCAAGCAGGCGGTCATGAGTTCGATCTCCGGTACAATTAAAAAAAAAAAAAAGACATGAAATAAGATATGACTTTTATCCCACATCACTTAATGGAAACTCATTTGACTAAAAGTCTAAACTTTATATTAATTTTCACTCAATACTAGTTTTATTGAACTTTTTTTAGTGCTTACAGTATTTCAGGCAATATGCAGAGTACTTTATCCCTTTTAAGCCTCATAATAGCCCTATAAGATAAATATTGTTATGATATTGTAAGGGTGGAACTTTACAGTGAGAGAAATAACTTGCCTAAGGTCCTGCAGAAGCATTGCAGCTGGGTTTTAGATGCATGTTTATCTGTCTCTAAGCTTCCTTTTCTGGCATCATTATAAAATAATGTGGAAGAAAATTATTGAATTACAAATTGATGCTAGATTAGCATTTATTTTGTCTTTTTGAGACAGGGTCCACTATGCAATTCAGGCTGGCCTTGGGCTCATTTTGTAGCCCAGGCTAGTTGGTCTTGAATTTACAGAGATCCTCCTGCCTCTGCCTCCCGAGTGCTGGGATTATAGGCATCCGCCACCATGCTCTCGGTTAGCATTCTTGAATTTTTAGATGAGACTACCTTGTGACTGTTCTTAGAGAACAGTTTTCTCTTTTTAGATTCAGAACCTCAGGAAATGTCATTCCGTCCAAGATTCACTTTCTGAGTTAGAAGAATGTAAGTCACTATCACAGCATAGTATACTGCTGTTTCCGGCATTCTTAAACAGCACATCACATAGATGTATAGGGTGGATGACTTCCAGCCATTTGGGCAGATGGGCAGGGAGAGGTAGGCCCTTAGCATCTCACATCTTCTCTAAGACACAAAAGTACCTATTGTTAAAGATTTGTATATTTAGTCCTTCGTTGAGAAACCTAATGTGGGCCCCATCTCCTGGCAGTAATGAACCTCAAACTTACCAGGCTTTGTGTAGAATATTTGCTTTTACTATATTCAGTTTTCACTTTTGAGCTTCAAGTTCAATTCAGCTTCTCTAGGATTGGGAAGGTAGTTTGGTTCATTTTGCTTTAACTTTTTGGTTTTGACTGAGTTTGCTGACTTGAAACTGATTTTTGGTCATTTATGTATACTTTAATAAATCTGTGAATTACAGAACTCTCATTTTAGCCTGGGGAGTGCTAACGCCAGCCCTTATTATGAATACTGCTCTGTTGTTTGATTTGGTCTATGTGCCAGTGGGGGAGCTACTCACTGGTAGAGCACATGGCTAGCATGTGCGGGCCCTCGTGATGCAAAATGAAAACCAACTACTTCCCATGAGACACACACAGGCACAGAGGGCCGAAGTAGCCTCCTGTTGGCCCCGATTCTATGACAGTAGAGTTTGGGTAATGACGGTGAAGGATCAAAGCAAAAGCTTGTTGTTATCATTGACCAGACTGTTAAATACTTTTCAAAAAATGTAATGCTCATGATAGTGGTTTATTTGTTCATTAAAAATCTCCCTTTAATTTCATTTTGCTATATATACACATGCGTGCATGTGTGTGTGTGTCGGGGGGCATATCAGACTGCTCTCTGGGTTCTGTATGGAGCTTCTGAAAGCCAGATGTTGTGTGAGGTCAGCACAAATACAGGCAAGACGACACCACTGGATGCCTCTACAGATAACTTTGTACGCGTGTCTCCAGCACTACCTGGCCAGGATCAGCACTCTTTGATCAGATCAGATGTGTAGACATATACATGGTGCATGGTGCTTTTATTGACATTAGTAGAGCTCTCAGGAAGCATCTGCCTTATATTCTAACAAGAGAACCTATTATGTCGGAATGGAAGCACCAATAGGAACCTGAAAAGTTTCTTTTTCTTTAGTCTGCGAAATGTTAATACCACTGTATTTATAGTAGATCAGTTTTTTTTGTTTTTTGGTCTTTTTCATTTTTATCGGTACCGGGGATCGAACTCATGACCACCTGCTTGCAAGGCAGGTGCTTATGCCGCTGAGTTAAATCCCTAGCTCCGATCAGTTTGTTTTTTAAGTCACCATCATATGTAAACAGTGGAAATTATATTTAATTTACATGTCATAATGATATTCAAACTCTGGACCATGGGCCAGGGCTTACAAATGGTTTCGTGGTGGCAAACAAAGTGTTTCTTGTCACAGGATATGAACTGCAACAGAATGCTGTAGGCGATGTTAAATTGGGGTGAATTTTAGAAAGTGACAAATGTTTTATGTTTCCTAAATCTGAGCTGGGTTCTGCCGGCTCTGAGTGGCTGCCAAGTTGTGTTATCACTTGCCCGCCTCATAACCGCCTCAATTGCTTCCTTCCCCAGCCCTGTATGATGAGATTCGTCAGTTCCGCCAGGCCTGTGGGGAGGCTCATCTCAAAACCATCTTAGCCACAGGAGAACTCGGATCCCTCACTAACGTTTACAAAGCCAGTATGATAGCAATGATGGCAGGTAAGTGTTTTATGTTCAAATAATGTTCTGTACTGATTGATGTTTTTTAGGAGAAATAAATAAGTATAAAACACTTGGCCATTATTAAAAGTGCTAACCACTTGGGGTTTGGGAGTGGGGAGGGAGGAAACATTTTGTGAGTACATGTTCAGTGTGAAGTGGTCAAAGCACTTGGCTTGCTTCCACATTTTCCCTGTGGCATTTCACTGTTGCACTATCCTTAGAAGGCAGTAGATGGCTCTCTTGTTAGTGAATTGCTCTTTATTGCTATTTGATTTCATCAACATATGTTCGGCAGAAATTTATGTAACTCTGACTTTCTTTCTGTGAGTTGAAACTTTGAATTTTTTTCATACACACACATACACACACACACACACACACACACACACACCCGTTTGAGCCAGCCCCTGCTTTTGTTTGTGTTAATTTCTCAAAAATTTAGCGTGGTATTATTTTTTATATTTTCAAATGTAGATTAACTTCTTCACCTCTACGAATAACTGATATTCAGATGTGCAAGCTTGAAACCTAGGAGTCATGCTGGATCCTTTCTTTTCTCTACCTTTGCATAAAACATTGAACAAGTCCTCTGAGTTCTGCCTCTTTCCTGTGTCTCATGTACTGCTCCCCCTTCTAGGCTGTTTTTCACACTGTTCAAAATGATTTTTTTAAAAAAGCCAACTTATCTCAATTACTTGCTGTTTCCTGAATATGGTGACACCCAGATCCACAGTGTGTGTTGGGGCCCCTGCCAAGACTGCCTTTTGCCCATATTACCCCTTAGAATCTCTGAATTCAGCATAGGCCTCACCCTTTTCATCCACTTCCTTACCCACCATGTAGCTGATTTTCTCTTCTGTATGTGCCTACATCATTCTGTTAAAACCTCTGCCAGACAACTTAGTATACTGTGATTACTGCTGAAGTTTTCCATGCCCTGCTAGAGACCTCATTTTGGATGAAGATACTTGGCTTCTCTGGTCTTACATTTGGGTCATGCATCATAATCATCCTTTAGATTTTTTATCCTCATTTCCAGTCTTTGAAGGATTTGTCCATTATTCCCAGGAACGCTGCAAATCATATTAGGCATAAATGGTGCAATTGTACTGATCATGCTGTTGGACCCAAAAAGTATTTTTCTCATTGAGAGCAAAATCTCTGAAAACATAAGGCTAACAAAGAATGAAAGATTTTGAGCAATGGTTCATCAATGTTAACATGTCAAAAGCCACAATTAAAAAAAAAACTGTCTGCAGTGGAACCCTTACTGTGTGGTTCTAGCCCTTGAATTCATGCAGCCTCCCTTCCCAGCTCTTTGCCAGGATGAGGGGTTGTCAGAGTAGGTACCAAAATAAAAGATTGGCAACAAATACCATAGATCACTTGTAGTGCATGCTATATTTTTACTTATTTATTTCTTGTAGTACTAGGGATTAGACCTAGGGCCTTGTGCATGTTAGGCAAGTGTTCTACACTGAGCTATATCCTCAGCCATTTTTAAACTTTTATTCTCAGCCATTTATTTATTATGTATTTATGCATTTATTTATTATTTTGGGTGCCAGGGATTGCACTCATGAACTTGCGTATATTTTTATTTTGAATAAGGTCTTTCTAAGTTGCCCAAACTGGGCCTCAAACTTGCCATCCTCCTGCCTCAGCTTTCCACATAGCTGGGGTCACAGGTGTGCACCCCTGTGCCTGGATGTGTACGCTTGATTGTTAACTACATGGTTGGGGTGCACAGGAGGTTCAGGTACTCATCAGGGTCGCATCCCAGCCAGTCTTGAGGTGTCTGTTTCCCCAGCTATAATACACTGAAAGCATATCACTCTATGAGATGCCAACCAGTCCTGTGCTGCTTCCTGTTGCACTGCTTACGCTGGGATCGTGGCGTTAGGTCATCAGGCTTTGGAAGCCCGTTCTACCCTTTGCCCCTCCTATCTGTAGGGGGAAAAAAGGCACCTATGGTCAGAAACATGCTCATTCTGTCTTTCCCTTTCTGCTTATTTCGCTGTTCGTGTTTTTTATCTGCGTCATTTCATCAGTGGCTGTTGTGAGTAATGTAACGGTTTATGGGGTGCTTTGTCAGACACTTTTAAATAATATCCCTTAATCTTCACCACAGCCTGGAGTGGATGAAGAATGGGGGAGTCGGTAGCTTACCAAGGTCATGATGCTAATGTATCATGCAAAGTCCTTATTTGAACCCAGGTTTTCTAGTTCCAAGTTTATTGCTTTTTCATTTGTAAAGCAGTTTTCCAAGGCTTTGTGTTTGGTTGTATCTAAATAAAAGACACAATCCTTATGCTCGAGTCCTGGATGAAAGCCTTTAGTCCATTTCCTAGCCTGTAGTTTGTCTTGCTGAGATATATAATAGACTGTTTTAAGAATTTGCTCATTTTTATTTATACTTATTTTTAGCACCTTGAGGAACTTTTTAAATTAAAAAAATTATATTTTTATTTCATATATGACCCAAAAGAACTCTCCTCCCCCAAATAGTTTTGATAAAATCCAGGTATGATGTGTATGCTTTTAATCCTAGACTTGGGAGGCTGAGGCCACAAGGTTGCCAGAAGTTTGAGAAAAGCTTAGGCTACAACTTGAGTTCAAGGTTAGCCTGAGCTACATAGCAAGACCCCCAACTCAAAAAACCAAAAATAATGACAATAATAATAGTAATAATAATTACCATTTTGCCTAAATCCATATCTCTTCCAGCTGGGACTTTATTTTCTCCATTGATATATTTGCAAAATCCACTTTACTGAGGCGTTTGCATTCATCAAAATTCAGGGGTTACAGATATGGCGTGAGTTTTGACAGTTTATGTGTATCTGTAACCACTATTCCAATCAAGAAATAGAACATTTCCATCTCCCAGAAATAATTTGATGTGCCCTTTATAGTGAATTCTGCTCTTCTCTGTTGCCAAATGTACAACCACTGACCTGGTTTTATCACCACATACTATACTGCTACTGTTCCAATTTTTTAATATCATATCATTGCAGTCTGTACTATGTTGTACTTATTGATTTCCACCTTGATAAGGATTAAAGCCTTGGAATATTAAGCAATTTAGAAATACTTCATTTGTACAAATAAACTAAGCTGCTAAAATTATGGTAGAAAGTTGTTTGTAATATTCTCTTCTTCGACTGCTATCTGTAGGATCTGTAGTTGTATCTCTGTCATTCCTGATGTTATTTTTTTCTTTCCTGTGGTCTTTTCCTTCTCCTCTCCCCTGCTCTTGCTCATTCCTTTTTTTTTTTCCTTGAGTCTTTGCTTTCTTTTTCTTTTGTTCTTTTTCTAGTTTTGCTTTGGTACCTAATGCCATATTCCTGGCCTATAGCTTATCCTACTGAGATATATAATACAGTTTTTTAAAAATATTGCTGTTTAATTTATATTTATTTTATAGTGCTTTCTAAAGTGTTATTTAGATTGAGATGTTTGATTTTCAAACATTTTTTACATATGTTTAGTTTATATAATTTAAAATTTAATATTCTGTGATTTTCAGGGATTATCAGATTTTTTCCTTCAAAATGGAATTATTTTATAACTTGTGATTTATTCAGGGATATGCCTTAAGTGCACTTAATAAATGTGTATTGTGGATGTTAATGCAAATGTTAATGTCAGGCTAAGTTGGTTAAAGGCTTTTTCACTTCTTGTTTTAGTATTAAAATCTCTATATACAATTATAGATTTTTTTTTCCATACCCATATCCCTTTAGAGCATCATGTGGTTTCTTCATGTGTTGTAGAGCTCTGTTGTTAGGTGTGTAGACATTTCTAGGATTGCAGTGTTTACCTCTTGAATCCGCAAATTCATCATTATGAGTGTCCCTCATTATTGCTGGTACTAGTGCCTTTCTGAGCATCTTCTTGGTTTAATATTAATCCAGTCACACTAGCTTTCTTGTGCTTCCTATATGCATAATACCTGTTAAGTATATCTGTAAATAGAATAAAACTCTGTCAATCATGACAAAATGGGTGTAACTGGTGAGCTTGATGTTAAGTGAAATAAACCAGGCCTTAAAAGACAAGTCCCACATGACCTTGCTTGTATATGCAGTCTATAAAGGTTGATATCAGAGCAGTTGAGAAAAGAATCATAGTTACCAGAGCATGGGGAGAGGTTGATCAATGCGTTCTACATTATAGGTAGATACGAGAAAGAAGTTCCAGTGTGCACAGTAGGGTTATTAGTTTTACCAGTAATACACTCTTCATCTCAAAAAACAACAAGAAAGGATTTTAGAAATTTTTACCATAAAGAAATGATGGTTTTGGGGAGGCGGCGGTACTGGAGATTAAATGCAGAGCCATCACACTGAGCTACAACCTCACCCTAAATCCCCCTTTAATACATTTTATTTTGAGACAGGGTCTTGTCATGTGGCTAAGTTGCACTGACTGGGCCTGAACCTGTCATCCTCCTTTCTTAGTCTTCCAAAAGTGCTGGGATTACAGGTTTGCCCAGCCTAACACATAATAAAGATTGGAGAAAATAAATATATTTATCCAAATTAAACATTCTATAATGTATACATGTAGCAAAATATTTCTTGTTACTCTATAAATGTGTACAATTTTTAGTTTTTATGTATCAGTTAAATAAATTTATTTTGGAAGATCAAGACGAAAAATAATGTCTCTCTTAGAGGCAGCTCTTTGAAAAGTTCTTCGAGGTAATTTCTCCTTTTTACCTAGAGTGCCTTGACCATTTTACTTTCCATTGTAACTACTGATGTGGTGGTATTTACATCTGCTGTTTTCATGTTATTTCCTCTTCATTTTGATCTACTGTTTTTGTTCCTTTTTCTTTTGTCCCCTTCTGGGTTCACTAAATATTTTATAGCATGTCTTTTTTATTTCTCAGATTGCATTCTTATTGTCAATCTCTTTCTATTTTTAAGTGGTTGCTCAAGAAATTATAATTTGCATCATTAATTTATCATAGTCTACTTAAAATTAAT